TTAAAAATTTATATATAAAAATCGAGAAAAAAAAACAATTTCACCATTTTAAATTTTTATACTACTCTGAACTAGTTACTTTAGAAAAAAACTCAACAAAACTTCATTCCAATTAAATATTTCCTTAACAATAAAGCCTAAAAAATTTATTTTATCATTTTCCAATGAAAAATCCTACTTTAGGAAAATTTCAATTCTACTGGGGGCTAATTGAGAGAGAAGCGAAAGCTAGAAATGTCCGGAAGCAGTTTTAGTTTGCCGGTCTCGGTAGCGTGGACCATGAGTTAAATCACGAAATATAAATTTTTTCTTAAACTTTTCACCATTTCAGCATACTACATTTAAATTACATCATTTTCTGTTTGAATTAATCAAAAAAAGAAGTACTTAAAAAATACCTCGAAATAAGATACGAAAAATATACTTTTACATAGCTTTGCTTTTATATTAATATAACTGATCATCGTTCTGATTTCCTGGATAATATCAAACAACAAACAATAAAACAAAAACGATTTGGACTTGAATGACGTTGAAAAATGCCTGATGGAAAATAAGGCATCGATTCTGCGAGCCGTAATTAGCTCTATTCTTAAGTAAGAAGGATTATTTGGTGGACTGAATGGTACATTATTGAGTGAATTGACTTTCCACATTTGTGATCCTCGGATTCACTGATCATGAGAAATGATTGATGGACCCGAGTTCTCCACTCTCACGAACATTAAGTCAAACTTTATAAAAAAACCATTATTTTCGTAAAAGAAGCCGTTTTTAGTAAAAAAAATCTATTCGAAATTTTTCAAAAACCAATGATACCAATCAATTCCTCGACCCCGAAAACCTTCGGTCAAACTTTACAGGAGTAGATGTTGAAAAGAATTGAGCATTTATCTTTCAGACGATATTTTTTGACCCTGATGTTCTTTTGACCTTGACACATACATACATACATACAAACGCATTTTATTTCATATGATCCTCCTTTCAGTCGAGGGAATATATCTAAGAAATGAATGAATAAATATCATTGTGTGTCTTAGGTTCATTTGGTGAATATGGAGTAACAGGCATGCTGCATGCCTGTACTTATGTTTTCTTTGCATTTGTGGGTTTTGATTCAGTTTCAACAGTAGCACAAGAAGCAAAGTCACCAGCGAGATCACTGCCAATAGCCACAATTGGGTCTACAATCGTTTCATCACTATTGTATATTGGAATATGTACTGTGATGGTTGGACTTGCTCCATATGAGTCATTAAATTCAGCGAGTCCTCTTTCTGTGGCAATGTAACTTATTAGTAATCTTTTAGAGAATATCAGCGGTAATCATTGTTATTTTTCTAGAAAATCTACACCTTACGGTCTTTGGTTATTAATTATCATGGAGTTAGCTGCGATCGCTGGTCTTACAACTGTAGCATTGATTGTGATGCTCTCACAAACCCGAATATTTTATGCAATGGCTTATGATGGTTTACTACCACCGCTCTTTGAGAAAATTCATTCTCGGACAACAACGCCATGGATCTTTGTACTGATCTGCGGTGACTATTCTTCTAATACAACTTATACGAGAAAACTTATCTGCGTTTTTAGGTGTATTTTGTACTGTTTTTTTCTGGTTTTTGTCCAGTAGATATTCTTGGCAAAACAACTTCACTTAGCGCCCTAATTACTTATGTTTTTGTGCATACTACGGTCATAGTCGTAAGTTCAATTGATCCGTTTCTCTATTTTGACATATAAAATGTCTTTTATACATGCGCTATACACATAGAGATGTACAACGAGTATTTCAAGTGCCATTTGGTTCATGGTTGATTCCAACTATAGATTCTTTACTGTGTATCCTTCTTATGATAGGTATAAAAAAAGGCAACAGGTTTTCGATTTATTATATGGACAGCATTAGGTCAAATTATTTATTTTTTCTATGGTTTTTGGCATTCCGAACGACGAAAGTTAATGAAAAGTAATGCTGTTGTAAATACAGTCGAACTTCTACCAACAGAAGCAAATGCTACACAACAAAATGCACAAGATGAATTTGAATCAGATTTAGGCAGTGTTAATACGAAAAGTGCAGCATAAAAAAAAACTTTCTTTATTAATACTTGTAGATATCAAAATAAAATATTTGAATTAGACAAAAAGTTCAAGTATAACATATTTGTTAATTTGATTGTATCACAATAAATGCCTCCTTATTATTTATATAAACTTTTTATTATAATATTTGTCTTGAGAGCACAGAGTTTGGTACTAGTACACTTCGTCGCACGACACTTCGTCGCGTTCACTTCGTCGCAATCACTTCGTCGCACGATCACTTCGTCGCACGACACTTCGTCGCATTC